TACCGGCTGACTGACTGACTCTTTCTAGTATCTGCCAGGTAGAGAGATAGGATGTAAAACATTGATCAAAGAGAAGCTTAATGTGAAAACCAATAACCACTCGCAGGAATTTTCTTTTGAGCCTTAAATTTAGAAATAAATCATAAACTGGCGTACTGGTAAAATATTGCATGACCAAGAAAAAAAGATTTAGGGAGGTTCAAGAGAGCGTATCTAAACTGGCTTCAGTTAGAACGGAAAGGTTGACTCTGAAAGCTAAAAGACTTTAATATATTTTTTGACACTCAAATGTACGTCCAACACTTTCATAAAAACCTATGTGCTTCTCGTAGATCGGGTCAAAAATCGCTTCAAGAGAGCGATAAAAGTGGTTTACCAAAACATTTTTTGTTAAATCCTATCTTTTGTAAACCAGACAATTTTGTTTAGACAGCCAAAGAAATTACTAGTTTTTACTTGAAATTAAACTTAATAGTTATGTTTTTAGAAACCAAAATGTGTCTTGTTATTGTAGTCAGAAAGTGCGATGCGCAGATCGATGCTCGCAAGTCCCAGCTACGTCATTCGCAAGGAAAGTAAAGGCGCTCTGACATATTTCTCAATATCCTGAAAGCCTAATGGATTTTATAGAATCCAATTTTAGTTGTTTGCTTAGTGTCTTGTTTAAATGTTATGGAAAGGGAGGAGGAAATGGAAGGACAACAAAAGCAAAATGTAGCATTCACAGGTGAGGACAAGTAACGTTAGACATTTACTTTTAAGCCGGCTCATCAGACAGCTGAATGGACGCCTGTGCAAACGCAATGCTGTAAACGAAACAAGAATAATTGCACATGTTCCAATTCAATTGTCTAAAATAAGGCTACAAGTTATTTGTCCCAGCTCACGGAGCAAGCCTAAAACCCTCTTCTTGCATTGTTAGCTCCTATAAAGGCAGCCATTGATCACCAGTTATATACTACCACGTTGATTAATAAACTTGCTTTAAAATTAACGCATCATATCTCATTATAAACAATACGCAGCTTTTAACTGCCTCCTGTTTAAGCTTGAGGTATCGTCTTTTGATAATACATACTTCGTGCGGGATGTAAGGGTAGGAATACCGTTTGGAAAGTTTTAGTCCTCTTTGTCGTTGAAGAGCGCACCTTTAGTAAATGTTGGATGCGCACTGAGAAATTAGAGCAGGCCAGTAGTATGTGGTAAATGTTTGCGCGACCGCTTCGTAAAGGTAATGTAGATTTGTTTTGAGATAAGAATGTTAATGTTGGAAAAATTAGCAAAGAGCAGGGTATGAGTAGCTGAAAATCTCGCATGTTCCTTTAGAGGTCACCAGAAAAATCATTCGTGTAGTTTCGTAAGGCAATAAAGTAAAGTGTCCTTTCTGAAGTAAAATAAAGCTTTTAGCGTTGGCAAAACGTTTAGTCTTCAGCTGCTTGCTGAAAATTTTAAAGTGTAACTTGCGGATGATTGAAATAAGAAAAATGAGTTTCAGTTCTTTAATTGGGTATGCAAGGAGTAGTTACTTACTTGCTAAAATGCAATTAATCCAGTCTGTTTACTCTAATTGTGGAAATTAAATATGCTATACTATGTATGTATGCTATTCTAAATATTAGTACATAGCTGTACTCCGATCTGGTCCAGGATTCACTAACCCTGGCTGCTTCGTCTGGCTGCTATCCTAAGTTTAAAATGGAGGCAGGTATTCAAATTTCAGGTAAGGAGGCGAACCGCAACCACCTGCTTATTCATCTAGGCTTTGGAACTCATACAGGACTCCATTTTCAGCGTTGATAACAGTAACTAGACAAACGAGCTAGCTAATTAAGTGGCATAGACTACCCGAGGCTTTCTATGCTGGTGGAGTACTTATTGGAAAACCAGACTTCAACCTGTTTTCCGACTTGGACGATTATCTTGTTGCCCCAACACCTCTTATCGGACATATAAATTATTCGTTATCTACACTCCTCCAATCACATTCAGAATTTTGCTTAGCATCATAACTGTTCTTTCAAACTTCTTCAGTTTACCAAAAATAAAGTTGAATTTCAGAGACTTCACTCACGTAACCAGTATTTGTAAGCAGGAAATCTGAGCCAATAACGCTCAGGGGACGAATTGAAGAAGGAGAGTAAGTTTACAAAAAATACCTTTAATAGGCATTACGATTACAATAACCGTACCTATTTTTGAGTCATATAACACAGACTACTTGTGCAGATTTTGCGCAGCTTTGCAACTCCACTACCTCAAGCCAAAACGGCAGCACGAGGACACTTCGGCTCTTGTAACCTTTCAGTTTTACAGGCATAAAATTAATAAAACAAATTATTTTAACGAAGCACACCCTCAACTACTGTGTTTCTAAAACAGAAAACTTGCGACCGTATTTATTTTAACGAATTTCTTAGTGCTGCGCAGAAGTGAAGGCAAACGATAGTTTAAAATTTGAAAATGCCTAAGTTAATTACCTTAAATGTTCCTTTCGTATCATGCCAGTACCAACATCCATATAAGATGAAGAAAGCCAACAAGACAATCTAAGCGCACATTCAGCAAAGAATAATTTTTAGTAACCTTTCGAAACACTGTTTCGGGGGAAAGCTTTCTTTCGTTATCAGATGAACATAGTCAGTCTACGGGAACACAAATAAAATTCAACATATCCTTTAGCTCACCACGACTTTACATGATAAAACTTGAAAAAATG